TGTGTTTTCATCTTATCCCAGTCAGAATGGCTAAAATCCAACAATAACTAGTGCTGGCAAGGAAAGGACAACACTTATTCACTGCTGGTGGCACTGCAAACTGGTGTTTCCACTATAGAAATTGGTGTGGAAGTTTGTTTGAAAGCTAAAAATAGAGCTCTCACATGATTCAGCCATACCACTCTTGGGCATATACCTAAAGGACTCTGTCTTCTACTACAGAGGTAACTGTTCATCCATGTTCATTGCTGTTGTATTTACAATATTCAAGAAATGGAAACAGACTAGATGTCCATCAACTGATGAATGGATAATGAAAGTATGGCATATTTACACAATGGAATATTATTCAGCTGTTAAGAAGTAAATTACAAAGTTTGCAGGTAAATTAGTAGAGCTGGAAACAATCAAACTGACATAACCCGGACCAAGAAATATAAATACTAAATGTTATCTCTCATAAGTGGATGCTTATTTTGAATCTTGAGATCTATGTGTTTCATTTGGAAAATCCAGAGAAATCAGGAACTAATAAGAGGCCATGGAGGTAGGAGTTTCACAAGTGGGGAGAGATAATGCAGTGATATAAATGTGGACGAGGAATAATGGAGGAGGAAAACTGGTGTGGAGAATGGGGGGACTGGGCAGAGAAAGGAATGTGAGGAGGGACACCTAACACTGAAATGCTTCTGAAAAATTCATATGGAAACCCACCTCTATAGAAGCTTCTAAAGGTACATACATATGCAATATGAAAAGGGAGTAAATGTAGTTAGCCTATAATATAGGGACATTGCACCTGCCAGACACCAGAGACTAGCAAATAAAAAGCCCAAAGCAAGGAATGGATTCCCTCTTTTGAAGCTCTGGATCATGTATCCCATGGACTCTCAAACAATACTGGTCATTGACCTTGCTGTTGGTTACCTACTAGAACCTGATAGTAAGACCCTATTTCAGAAAATGTTATGTGCATGAGTTGTAGAACAAACAAAGAGAAATCAAGTTGGGACTGTCCTCAAAGCTTCATCTCTACTGGTTAGCTTTCATAGTACTGGTGGTCTGCATGCTCCTAGAAGAGAAAATTAATCATCAACTTTGCCTAGTTATAAATCCTGAGAGCTACAATAACAACTGGCCTAGCAACTATGCCCACTATTGCAACAGTGGCATGAATGTTATGTAACTAACCATTTTCCAATTGGATTTAAGGTCTGCTTCACAAGATGGAACTCTACTTGGAACTGATATCAGGCCTAGGAAACTGTGGTTAGACATGTCATAAGCCACTGGGGAGAACTTAATACTATTTTGCAAAATGGACACAGTATTAAACTGACTATAGTGACTGATAGAATGCCCCAGCTGCAGAAAACCAGAAATCCTCTGAAACTGCTGCTGATCCTGCTCAGTCATTATTGGTCAGCCACACCCAGAATTCAGGAAGGACTGTTTTTTGAGACAGGCAGTTTCTCAAGGTAACCTGTTCTGCTCTGACAAACATCTCTGGGAAAAGGATGTCATAAATCTCTCAAGACTGTCTTAACCTGCACATACCCTCTGCAGTTATTTTAACTTGCACATACTTTAGGCCCTTTCCCTCTTCTATAAAACCCATGATCAGTTCTCTCTCTGGTAAAGTAGCTTCCATCCCATGGAAAGGTTGCAGCCCCTCATTGGTCTAGATAAACAGTCTTGTTTGCTGAAGTCAGATATGTTCTCTTTCTTTCTCTCCCATTGTTACTGTACTCTATGCTCCAAAATCTAACAACAACTTCCTGTTATACTCACAGATAAAGGCATATCTCAACTCTCACCTCCTGAAGCTTCCTCATGCATCAGATGATGAATAATAAAGAGACCAAAAACTGATCAACATGCATAAAATAAGAGACTGCAGAATATTCAGCCTTGAATAGGATATTTGTATTAAACTTCTGCCTGCCAAGGCTAAGGAATCATTAGGGAAAAGGGGGCAGAGATTGTATGCTCCAGAAGCAGTTGATGGCCACAAGGAAACAGTGTTTTTTCAGACAGCTAAGCAGTTATTCATATGAATTCATAGCAATTGTGACAGCACTCACAAGACTACCCAATCTCAAGCCAGACAAAAGCCCAGCATAGAGATGGTAATTGGATGAAAAGAACAAACCCTAGATAAGGACCTATTGGTAACTGATAATTCCTGGGAAAAGAAGAGTCAGTTTTCTTTAACAGTATGACTCTTGGTAGGATAACTAGGCTCCGGTGGATAGATCCACACTAAAAGGCATCTGGGGACACAAATTAGTCTCAATAGGACTTACACACACACACACACACACACACACACACACACATGGTACCTGGAAACTGGTTGTGGTGGTTTGAATGAGAATGTCCCCCACAGGATCCAAGTATTTGGGAAATTTGTTTCCCAGTTGGTGGTGCTGTTTTGGTAGGCTTTAGACAGTGTGGCCATGATAGAGGGGAAGCATGTGACTGGGGGTGGGCTTTGAAAGTTCTTAAGCTTTGCCAGATTTCCATTCACTCTCTGCTTCCTGTGCTTCCTTTGATATGTGGTTGCTTAATTTTCTGCTCTGGCCACCTTTGCTGGACTTACTCTGGAACCATAAGATAAATAAAATCTTTCTTCTGTAAGTTTCTTTGGTCAGTGTTTTTATCACAGCAACAGAAAAGTAACTAATACAGAAGTTGGTACCAGGAGTGGGGTGTTAGCTGTGAAGAACCTGGCCATATAGATTTTTGGTAGAATATGGAAGATTTAAAGTTTAGACTAGAAATGTGGCTTGGCATGGTGGTGCATGCCTTGATTCCTTACACAAAGCTTAACAGACAATTCTAGTAGGAACCTGGAAGAAAGTAATGCTGAGAGCAAACTAGCTCCAGAGAGAAATAAGACTTAAACAGAAGCTAGGATATTGTGGCAAAGACTGTTGTTGGAGTCTGCCCATAGCCTAAGAGCTTGCCTGAGGCTAATTTGAAAAGTACTGGACTAATTTCTTTGGCAGAGGAAATTTCAAGATGGAGGAAGCATGGATATTAATGATTGTGCAGATCTACAGTGATAAAGTGCAAGTGTGGCAGAAAAAATGCAGAATGTACAGTTTGAATTAAAGAAGACCACTAGGAAGATTAATGTTTGAGCCAAGGCATGTGCTGAAAGAGAGGCTCCCTTTGATAAGATTAGAACAATTAAGGAGAGGCATAGAGATTTGCACTTAAACAATGTAATGAGTACCTTCAGGGTAAGTCCACACCCAGCTAACCCTCCAACTTGTGAAAGAAAAAAGCCTAATGCATTTTCTCCTAGAAAACTTCACCCCACAAAAGCTGCTGGTAGTGTGGATGAAGCAGCCTAGTGCCTATTCCAAACTGGCAGCCAAACTTGACAGTGTCATTTATGAGGTACTTGCTTTAGAAGCATAAAAGATGTAAGTGTAAAGGGGTTGTTGTTCTCCCTCTGTGGTTTCAGAGAGTCACCAAGTTCAAGCAGTGTGCAGCCAGTATATTTATGCATGATGCGATAAAGGTGAAGCCTGGTTGGCAGTGAGGACTGCAAGAGAACATTGGAGATGCTAAAGCTGTGAGACATCTGCCAAGGAGAGCTGCGTACAGGGAGTGGAACCAGTCCAAGAGAGAGTATAGTGCACATAGCAAAGCTGGCCGGGCTGAGTTATCTAAGCCCTTTGGAAATAAATTCCCAGAAGCTGGACATGGAACTACTGGTATTAGTGTTTTCCCTGCTTGGCTTCAGTATTGTTTTGGTCAAGTATTTCCTCACTATGCCCCCATTCCTCCCTTTTGGAATGGAAATGTGTATTTTGTTCCATTGTATGTTGGACATTTGTAATTTGTCTTTTGATTTTACAGTGGCTTACAGTTAAGAGAGCAACCTGAGTATCAGAAGAGACTTTGGACTCTAGACTTCTGAATAGTATTGAGACTGGTAAAGACTATGGGGACTTTTAAAGGTGGAGTAAATTTTGTGGTGGTTTGAATGAGAATGTCTCCCATAGGCTCCAATCCCAAGCATTTGGATAGTTTGTCTCCAATTGGTGGCACTGTTTCAGTAGGCTTTAAGAGGTATGGCCATGCCAGAAGAAATATGTCAGTCACTGGCAGTGGGTTTTGAGAGTTCTTGAGCCTTGCTGGACTCTCTGTTTCCTGTGTCTACTTCAAGATGTGATGACTTGAGAATTTATTTGGCTTTCTGCTCCAGTCATCTTTCTCACCATTATGAACTTTTAACCCTGGAATTTTAAGCTAAATAACCTCTTCCTTCTATAAGTTGTTTTGGTTACTGTTGTTATCACAGCAACAGAAAAGTAAAAATGAAGATATATTGCGGAGTACATGAAACCGAGTTGGGTGGTAAGGGGGTGCAGACAGGGAAAGACAGGAATTATGCAGAAGGGAAGAGTTCTGAATTGATCTCAGTACGATCAAAATACACTGCATGAAGTTCTCAAAGATTCAGTAAAAATATTTTTTAAATTGACAAAATAAATGACCAAATATCTAAATAAATCGATGTACCTGAACAGCAACACTAAAAAAAATTCAGACATGTATGGAACAGTAGTGTGGCCATCTAAACTGTGTTTAAAAATCATAGACTCACTGGGACATGGTGGTTCACACCATTCATCCCAGCACTCAGGAGACAGAGGCAGGCAGATCTCTGTGGGACTGAAGCCAGTGGTTTACATAGTGAGTTCCAGGCTAGGTGAGGCTACAGGGAGATCCTGTCTCAAAAAAAAATTAATTAAAAAAGAAAAAAATAGAAATCAGGGTCTCGTTCAGTCACAGGTGAGAATATATTACAGTTTCTCATCTGGGCTAGGTCAAAGTCTTTAAACTCTTGTAGCATTTTAAATTAAATATAGTACAGCTCGGATCTTAACCTGGTCCAAATAAGTCAAAATCTCTACAGAGAGACTGGAATTGGTAAACTAAGGCACTGAACAAATCCTTTGAAAAATACTGTTGATCGAATCAAATTTAATAGAAGTTATGGCAAACAAAGGAGAGGGGAGGGAAGGAAAGAGAGAGGAAAGGAAGGGGAAAGGACATGGAAAAAGCAGAGCCAAGATCAAAGGAAAGCAGCTGTGACTGCAGCTCTTCAGGGAGGTAACAGCAAGGGCCTGATCCTGGGTGACAAACAGGAGGCGATGGGAGAATGCATGCAAGCAGCAGTGCACACACTGTACTGACTTGTGTGTAACTCAAAGAGATGATGGGAAGGGTAAATAAAGTTTGAGGTTTAAGGGATCATAGATATGTAACAATGAGCAGTTACAAGGACTTGTGGGGCAGGATAGTGGGTGGATGGTTAACAAAAACTCATACAATGACTTCTAGGTAACAATGAAAACTAAAATAAGGATAAAGACAAAAGAGAAGGACAATCTAAGATAGATTCATACATAGGAGATGCTCAATAACTATTGGTTCAAAGAGTAAATAAAGGAAAGCATGAGAGAGCATGTCTCCCAGGGTCCTCTTTCACTGAACAGAAGACAGCAGTTATAGAACCAGGGACAAGAACAAGAAGATCAGTACACACAAATATATTCAGTGACATAAAAAGATTGGGGCAGAGTATTGACATAAAGGAAGTTGAGGAGAGATGATTATTTTTTGGTAAGATAGTAGATTTGCTACAAAAGTGAGCTAAAAGTTTATAAACTATTGCAGAAATTGTGAGAACACTCAGGAAAATCTAGACTTTTCCTGGAAATGTGCAGAAAGAAATTTGTACTTTTTATTGTTTGGATTTTTTTAGAAAATTTTCTTCCTTATTCTTAGGCTATGCGTCATATATTTGTGTCAAGTTACTAAGAAGGAACAAGAAAAATGGAGCAAAAAAAAGAATTTAGTAACTGGAAGAGAAAAGGTAAGAGGGAATGGAGGAAAGAGCAGAGGTAGATGATGATCCTCAGAAAGCCAGAGAGCCTGTCAGCCCTCTAATGGAGAAAACACCGGGTGGTAGCCAAAGGTATGTCAAGGATAGAGAGGGGACCTAGGGAGCTGAGATTGCTAAGTGGAGACACAGAAAACTTCAAAAATGCAGGTGACAGTGAAGATTAAATTAAGGTTATAATATAAGTTCATGGAGCACCCAGACAACAAGTTTTCTTTTTTCTTGTTCCTAGCTCTGGACATTATTTTATTTTTTATTTTATTCCAAAGACAGGCAATTTTTAACATATTTTTCCAGAAATAACTTGAAGCAGGTTACATAAAAATATGTATACAATGAAATTTAAGGGGAAAAAATAGGCAACAAATTTTAAAATGCCTATAGCATTTGACATCCTGACTCTGCGATGAGAAACACTAAACAGAAACGGTTCCAGGGTACTTTGGTTGCCTGTTGCTATGTGACATATTATGTCAAAACTTAGTTGTTTCAAATTTAATTCCTTCATGTCATGGCTTGACTGGGTCTTCAAATTCATAGTACCTCACAGACCACATCAAGTTGTGGACTGGGCTAGAGTAATAATTTCAAGACTTGGCAAAATAAAGTTCTGGTTCTAAAATTGTTTTGTTTTTGTTTGTGTTTTTCATGGCTATTGAACAAGGTCCTCTGATCTTTGCTGAACACCATTCAGTTTGTTATCATGGGATCTCTAGCATGGCAGCTGTTACCATCATCAAAGGGCATAAACCAAGAACACATAGGAGGAGGGGGCTAGTAAGACATAGTCATAGTCTTTTGCTATCTAGTGACGGAATCCACCAAATTTCTCTAGTTCTATTGGTCATAAAAGGTTGCTATGAACAGCCATAGTCTAGGCAGGAGATCACACAATATGACTACAGGAAGGGAGCACTGAGGACCCATTGGGGCTCCCTATTAGATTGGGATTATGTTAGGTACTTATTAATGAGCGTTCTAAACAATATCCAAGTTTATTCCCTTAAAAGCCTTTTCTAATCCTGCTTTTTGAATTATGTTCTGCCTAGAATTTTTTTTTAGTAATTGACTCCCTGGAGACTAAACTAAAAGCATTTATCTTTGAAAGTAGATTCATGCAGAGATAGCTATGAGGAAGAATGAAAAGAATAAACACAAGAAGGCAAGAAAGAAGGAAGAAAGGAAGGAAGGAAACAAGAAATAATTAACTTGTGATGTAGAGCTATGGTAAGTCAAGGTGATATTTGGTGTGTGATGTTGCTGCCTCTCGCAAGATTCCAGTAGAGATGAAATGAACATCAAGGAGATGGGGATGGGGCAGTCCTTGGGTATCATCTTAGGGATTGGGGTGGATTTTGAGGCATGGACTTTAGAGTAGCAAGCAGTAAGCATCTTCTTGTCCCAGGCATAGAGCTACATTACTCACATATCAATAGCGATGATGGTGATGATGATGGTATTTCCCAACCATGTAAATCCCAAGATGATAGTTCTGGCTTGTTCTACACTGATTCAGAGGTAGAACTTAAGCTTTAGGATCACCCTGGCACAATAGCATTATTTCCTTTAAAGGTGTCCAAGTTAAAGACTTGAAAGTTTAACCAATCCAAAGTTCCATGTAGCTAAATGATGTCAGAATGAAGCATGGTCATGATGCCAATATGGGTCTTAATATAAAAGCATGTTTGTGATTCTAGTTGCCTTGCTGCTCAGCCACAGTTGGGGTAGGAAGCTTTTCAGTGAGAAAGCACGGGAGAGAATCCAGAAGTCAAGATAGGATGGAGAGAGATGAGTAAATCTGGAAGAAGAAAAGAATGAAAACACAGATGATGTAACGAAAGATGGATACAGCTTAAGAAAAGAATGAGAGAGCAACGATGAGTCAAGAAACTCGAATAGTAGTGGCATATTTTCATCATGTGATTCTATCTAAGATATTTTAGCAGTGTAGGAAGGATAGTGATGTGCAAGTTCCCACAGGGCAAGAGGAAAACAAATATGAAGATCTGTTTTTTGATGATAAGTCATTCATAGCATAATGATGTTCTCAACAGAACCTTCTGCTAGGAATTTGATATGAATTGGTTAGATAAAAGAAGAAAAGAATTAGCTCTGTTCATATCCTCAAGACCTTAAAGGAAAGGGGCCCTTTAATTTATTGTCCAGACCTGGGTATTTTAAGAGTGAAAAGAAGTCCCATTAACAACCTGCTGAGGCAGCAGGAACAGACTAAGGCTGTTCCTAACAAATTGGCATTTATGCTCCTCCTACTAATGGGCAATAAATAGCAAGTGAACAAATATATGCACATCCACAATAAAAAGCAAATGGACAGATATATGTAATTATAAGTTTGAATCCTTCAAATGAAACAAAATCTGTTTGAATAGGATAATCAGGGAAAGACTCATCACTGGTGACATTAAGCCTAGCTTAATCTAGAGAACAGAAAGGAAGACTCACGTACAGAGGGACCAGCAAGGTAGCTCAGCCAGCCGTATACTGACAGTGGTAGTGTCAACATTCTAGACCAAAGAAGATGGTGCAGTTTTTCTGGAACACTCTAGTACATACAGTGGCATTTTTAGAAGGGC